GGAAGAAATTAAATTATCATTTGTGGGTAGCATGTTACCTCTACAAAAAAGACCCCAAAATTTCCACCAAAAGACTTCTAGATTTAATAACCAAATTCAGTAGCATAGCTGGATACAAAGTCAACACTCAAAACTCTATAGTTTTCCTGTATACAAATAACAAACGGAGAGAGAAATTGGAGAAACTGCACCTTTCAAATAGCATAAAAGTAATAAAATACTCAGGAATCAACCTAACAAAAGAAGTAACAGACCTTTATACTGAAGACTACAGTACTCTGAAAAAGGAGATCAAAGAGGAAAGATCAAAAAAAGGAGATCAAAATGGAAAGATATCCCTCGTTCTTGGGCAAGAAGAACAAATATAGTGAAAATGTATATACCTCTGAAATGGTTATATAGATTTAATGCAATCTCAATTAAAATACCAATAGTATACCTCACAGAATAAGAAAAATCAATCCAAAATTCATTTGGAACTAGAAGAGACCTAGAAAAGCAAAAGCAATTTTGGGCGACAATGGCAAGGCAGGAGGCATCGTAATCCCTGACCTGAAACTATACTACAAAGCTACTGTGGTAAAAACAGTGTGGTACTGGCAAAACAAAACAAACAAAAAACACATACCCAAGGATCAATGGAACAGATTAGAAAATGAAGAAACAACTCCACATACAGCTACCTTATCTTTTAAAAGAAACTGGCTTTTCACTTGCTGAAGATTAAAAGTAGACCCATATCTCTCACCATGCACTAAACTAAGATCAAAATGGATCAAAGATCTAAATATTAAAACAGAAACACTAAATCTCCTGGAAGAGAGAATAGACAGAACTCTTGAAGAAACTGGTGTGGGCAAAGACTTCATGAACAAAACCCACACCACACAGGAAATATCATAAAGAATCAACAACTGGGATTTCACCTTATTAAAAAGCTTTTGCACAGCAAAAGAAACCACTGACAGAGAGAAGAGAGAACCCATAGTTTGGGAAAAAATGTTTGCCAGCTGTTTCCCAGATGAAAGACTAATATCTAGAATATACAAAGAACTAAAAAAAAAAAAAAAAATCAGATCTCCAAGTTTAAAGACCCAACTCAAAATTGTTTAAGACACTATGAAATAGGAAGAGAACGTTCAAATGAGAAGGAGAACAAGGGAAAGGGGGTGGAGAAGGAAGGAAGGGAAAAGAAAAGAAGAATAGAAGGAAAAAAATGGAAACAAACCTTTTCTAAATAAGGAAGGGAGGAGGGGCTGAAGGGAGGAGAGGGGACTGGAGAAAAAGAATCAAGATATATACTATGAGGCCAGGCGTGGTGGCGCACGCCTGTAATCCCAGCACTCGGGAGGCTGTGGCAGGAGGATCGCTGTGAGTTCGAGACCAGCCTGGGCTACATAGTGAGTTCCAGGTCGGTCTCAACTACATGGTGAGACCCTGTCTCAAAAAAACAAAACAAAACAAAACAAAAAAAAGTTATGTGCTATGATGAATGTGATCTTTATGTACATCTAAAATGTACCAATAAATCAATTTTTAAAAAGTTGATCAAAATAGTAAAAGGCAATATTAACATGCAAATCACAGGGGAAAATATAAATAGGTGATAAACCTATAATAATGTAATGATTAAAGAAACACAAATTTTAAAAGTAACTGACTGGGAACAAAACAGTGATATGAGTGGAACCATGAGGGCCTGGAAGAAACTAAGGGAAGCCTCAACAGAATGCTGACTGTGGTTTCCAACTCCAGCCAACTATAGCACATGCACCTTAAACTGCTAAAATTGCAGTTCCTGGATGTTGTGGTGGTGCCCACCTGTGATGTCAGCACTTGGGAGGCAGAGGCAGGAGGATCACAAGACTATCTCAAAATAAAAAGGGCTAGGGCTGTAGCTCGGTGGTACAGTATCCCTGGGTTTGCTCCCCAGTGCCACAGAGGGGAAGTGCGTGGTAAACCAGTTATCAGTACAGAAGACATAGTGCAAAGTGAATAAAGAGAGCCTGTTCTCAGGCACCACTACAAACAGCAATTAGCTCAGTGATGACAAGGCCTCTGGTCCGGTCACAAGGGCAGCTCCTCAAAGGAACAGCAGGGGAAGGGGACCCCCCAGCCGACAGGCAGACAGAGGTGACCTTACCCTGTCTCTGCTCGGCTACAGGCGGAGGAGCCGTCAGCCTGGCTTGGCCCTCATCCTCCCCCCAGACCCAGCTTCCTGAATCCCCAGCACAGCTGAGGGGCTGTGTGGCACTCTGGGCATGTCCACCGTCCAAAGGTCCTGTACACTTGGCTTTTCCTCCCTCCCCTGCCTCCTCTATGCATCCTGGACTCTGCAGCATGCGGCTGGGCTCCACTCCAGGTGACTGCACTGTTGAGATAATGCAGCACAGCGCAATGTTTACTCATGGACACGTAACTAAGATCTACAGGCAGCTCCTGCCTCTGAGGCTTCCTGCACAGGTACGGCCCCTCGGGTCTCAGCAGGTGCCTGGTCACCGTGGTTCAGGGAGTTCTGTTTGGAAAAGTTTGGGGATGTGGTCCTGAAAAGCCTTCAGGGCTTTTCTGAGGGCTCAGGATTTCTGTCCACTATTTCCGTCTTCAGGACAGAGGGCTGAGCTCAGGTGTCAGAGCTTCCTTGGCTCCGGGTGACCCACCCATTCTTCTGGGATTAAATATGGAATGCTCTTCAACATGAGTTCCACAGTCTCCCCATTCTATAGAGGGATTCAGCTCAGATACACCTATAATTCCAGCTGCTCCCCCCCATCCAAGTTTCTACCCCAACCCCAGGCCTTCCGGTAGCTTGCATGGTCATCTGGCAACTGAGTCTGCTGCCAACATTATCCCACCCAGATGGCCTGTCCAGGTTCCTCACACAGGGCAGACCATCTTCCCAAAGACCGTACTCATGGCAGAGTAGATGGCCAATCAGAAGAGAACTGCGCAGCAGAAGTCAAGAGTGCAGGCTGAGGCCTGGGATTTGTCCAAGGCCTACATGAGAACGTGGCCCCCCGGCATTGTTTTTTTTGTTTTTTTTTTGTACCGGGGATTGAACTCAGGTCCTTGCACTTGTGAGGCAGGCACTGGAACCACGGAGCTAAATCCTCGGCCCTGGCATTCGTTTACTTTCTAGTGACATAAAGGGTTTGGTTTCTTGAGTTTGGAAGACTTTCCAATTCTTTTGTTAACTCTGGTTCTGTCTATCCCCTGTTTACAACTGGTCACTGGCCTCCCTCCATGCTTCTGGGGCTAGCAGATTGAAGGAGCATCCCCAACCTGACCCAAACCACCTTTCGGCCCTTTTACTGCAACCTGCCCCATGCCTTCGTCCCTGCTGCCCGCCTGTCCTGCACCAGGCCTGCTCCCTGCCCCAATCCACCACCACTGCAGCCTCTCCTGCCTGCGATCCCAGCACAGCCCAGCCCAGCACACATCCCTCCAAACACCGGGGACTCCTACAAGCAGTTCTCTTGGCCTGGGCATCAGTTTAGTGAAGCTCAGGGAGAATCCCCGGCACCTGGCATCTCCAAGCAGTGGCTATGGCAGATGCTCGAAAGCCCCAGGGTGTAGGTCATACCAGCCATTTCCTTCTGGAGGGTTCTTTAGAGTTGTAAGTGCTTTCACTGCCATCCTCCCTTCACTCCCTAAAGGGATCTGAGATGCAGGGCCCTAAGCACCGGGGTTGTCAATGATGTCACCTGCTTAAGGCGACAGCACAGGAGGACCTGAGCCAGCCCTGGGCTACAAGACTCCCACTTCCAGGTCCAATCAGGCCTCACCCAGAATGGGCAACATTCACCGAAGGAGCAGCCTGCTGCTGTTGGAAACATAGGCCAGGCTGGGAGTTTAGCTCAGCATAGTGCTTGCAGACCACATGAAACCCTGGGTTCCATACAACACAGCAAAAGACAAAAACAAAACTCCACAGCCAAAGGCAGTCACCTTGTACCACTCCCCTCAAAACGGAGGAAGGTAAGCTGGGTGTAGTGTGTGAAGCAGGGCAGTCCTCACACGGGAGTTCCGTGAGCCTCGGTGCTGGAACTGGATGTGGCTTGGAGATCTGGGAAGGGTAACCTCATCTTACAGAAAGGGAGCAAGCCATCTGCACCAGGGCCAGGCCCCTGACACAGACATGTCCCTGTGCTCGTTGGCAAGGGCAGCTGGGGTAGGCACACATGCCACGCCATGCCAACCCAGCCATCCCTCAAGTGCCTGATCTCCACTGTTGGTTCCTGGTGGCGAAGAGCATTGTTAGTTTCCATGGAATGTCAGTCAGCCCTTGGCAGCTGGGCCACCTCTGACATGAGCTCCCCGGATGAAAGCACATAGCAGACTTCCTATATAAGTACCAGACTGTCTGCCCCTGTGCACCACCTGCACAGGGAGTCCAGGTAGGTGCAGCACCCAACCCTTGGGGTGTGTGTGTGCGCGTGCGTGTGTATGTGTGCATAGGTTTAATTTACACAGGGCTGCTAACCATTCATTTTTTTTCCTCTGGACCTTAGCAGGTCTATCTAAACAAGGGGGAGAGCAGACAGCCTAAGTCAGGCTTGCGGCTCAGAGTTTTCTTTAAGGGGTGTCCCAATCCCCATATCCCCTGTGGACCTTGCTGGTTCTGCTTTATTATCCTGTGTTAAAAATTCATGCACAGGGCCAGGGATTTAGCTCAGTGGCACTGTACCTGCCTCACAAATGCAAGGTCCTAAATTCAATCCCCAGTACTGGAAAAAAAATCTGGCACAAGCTCCTCCAGGCCTGGGAGATGAGACAGGAGGGCAGACACCCCCGTCCTCCACCACAGAGGTCCTATTGCTAAGCAGCCTGCCCTGCATGGTTCTGGAAGGCAGCACCCAGCTTCAGCTCTCTTTTACCTTGGGGATGCAGTTACAACCCCAGGTCAAAAGTTCTCACCCAACAGGCTCTCAGCCCCATCAAGGGGTAAGGTAAGCTGCCCAAGACTCTCCCCCAGGCCCAGCTGTCACCATCCAGTGGAGGCCATGATCTCGGTGAGGACTCTCTGCAGCCTGCTGCTCCTCAGTGTGTTCTGGGTGGACTTGTCCATGGCTGGCTCCAGCTTCCTGAGCCCTGGCCATCAGAAAGCCCAGGTGAGCCCTTTCTGCTCCAGGCCCTGCCACTCAGCGCACAGCTATGTGACCTGGGTGGGGGCTCTGCTGTCTCCCAGAGCACAGGACTATGGCCTAGGAAGACAGGCAGACTTGGGACCTAAAGAACACCTGCTTCTCCCTTACAGCAGAGAAAGGAGTCCAAGCAGCCACCAACCAAACTACAGCCCCGAGCCCTGGAAGATTGGCTCCGCCCAGAGGGCAGAGGGCAGGCAGCTGAGGATGAGCTGGAGATCCAGGTTTGTGCTCTGCAGGTCCGAGGGCTTGTGGTTTTTGGCATGTGTGGGAAGAAGGGCAGAAGAGGCAGCTGTGACTGGGGTCCTGTCTTCAAGCTACACAGAAATTGTAAACTACCAGATCAATCCTCTGCCTGCCTAGGAAGGGGGATGGCGAGGGCTAAAGAAAAAAGGCAACAGAGACTTGTGTAATTTCAAAGTATATGGGGGCCCGGGATGTCAGTGCCTCAGAGCAGGCATAGATAAAGACTCTCGGAGAGCACCACTATTTATTGGGTACACACAATAATTGGAGGGAGCATCAGGTGACCTAGGGGGCTGTGGTAATCCTAGAACAATGAGGATTTTATGTTGACAATAAGGTTCTTATGTTGATGAGGATGTAAGGAAAGCATTCTTACAATAGTAGGTGGAATGAGTTAAGGAACTGGTCCCTTGCTGGGCAAGGGGCAATGCCTTTCTCTTACTTCTGGTTCTCAAGGAGCCAGGATGTCTTCAGCTGATGTAATCTTGCCCTGCAGTGTCACAGCATCACTGGACCACTGAGGTCTCAGCTGTGATCAGAGGCAAAAATGGAGTTCTGTTTTGGCATATTATAGCCAGCCTGGCAAGAAGACTAGGTCTAATCATAATTTAATTGTAAAATGATTTTTTCCTAAAATTATGTAGAATAGTTCCCTACAAAAAATTAGCCCCAAACAGCTGAGCTTTGCACGGGACTCTGAGGCCTTTGTCCAAGAGAAAAATATCTAAGTAACTTTGCCTTAAGAGCACAGGAGTGCCAGGGATTTAGCTCAATGGTGCTGTACCTGCCTCACAATTGCAAAGTCCTGAGTTCAATATTGGGTACAAAAAAAAAAAAAAAAGCACAGGACTGTAAGGTGCTGAGAGCCAGGGAGGGAAGGTACTAGTGGACACCAGGCAATTTCAGAGGGGACCATCAGGGGCCTCACAGGCCTGAACATGAGGACGGAGTGCTTGGAGACGAACTGTGGACACAGGGGAGTGGGCTGCTAGTCTCACCTGTAGTCAGGTGGATGAAGTCTGTCTGATTTTGGTGTGAAGGATTGAACCCAAGGCCCTTTTGCTGAGCTATGAGCCCTTTTTTGTTTTGAGACAGGGTCTAAATCATTCAAGTACCTAGGTTGGGTTGGAACTTGAGGTCCTCCTGCCTGAGCCTCACAGAGCACTGGGTTATATATAGGTCTGCACCACAACACTCAGCTATGACAAATCTTGAATGGGACAAGGAAAACCTGCAGAGACAGCTTAAGGATTCGCAGCGGGGGTGTAGAGGGATGTGGGGGGGAATTGTTGGTAACCTTCCTGTGAGGCTGGCTCTGGCTCAGGGAATGGTTTCTCATAAGCATTAGGTGGCCACATCTTGCTGCAGCTAAGCCGGGTCCCCTGGGGTGAACCCAACAACAGCAATCCACTACACTGCCACGCCTGTCACCACTGGGCTGAATGCCCAATTCATGGACTGGGGAAGTGCAGCCTCTCCTTGGTGTTGGGAGGCTCTGGGCTTCTGGTGCCTGTGGCCTCCAGCAGCCCCAAGAGTGCCTCAGCAGCTGAGGCTCACAGCCCTCTTCCAACTGCTTTCACTGCCTCTCTGCTGATCACTGCAAGTACTATGCGCTGCTCCATCACTTAGGGTCTTTACACTGACCTCCATCCCCTGCCCTCGTTAAATGTCCCAAGTGAAGGTCTTGTTAAGACTCTGAACTGCTCAGGCCAGGCTGGAACTTGTGATTCTCCTACCTAACCCTCCCAGGGTACTGCATTGCAGGCTGGTGTCCCTGTGCTGGGCTCCACTGCTGTCTAGAGCTCTTCTGTAGCCCCATCCGCTCACCCCACTGCGTCCAAGATGCACATCATGGCAGGCAACAGGACCATGCAACGAGGCATTCTCTGAAACCTGTGCATGGGGCAGGGTGCCCTCTTGGACTGACCAGATGGGGCAAGGAGGGAGTTCACACACATGCAGTTCCTCACATCTGGGGAGCTGCATGGGGACTGAGGGGCAGTGCTGCCTAAGGTGGGCTGGTTTCAAGCCTCTGCAGCCATAGCAGATGCCTCCTCCAGTGACTGGGCACTGGCTCAGCCCAGCAGTGGAGAAGGGAATGCTTGCTCAGAAGCTCCTTGAGGGCTCCTTCAGGGCTAAGTCCCAAGGGCACAGCTTTTTTTCCGGTGTCTCTGCTGGCTGTGCCCCTTGGGCTTGGGGAGTACAGACCCAGGCCCTCCCAGGCCCTGTCAGCATGGTCCTGCCACAGGCAGCAGCAGCACCCTCAGCAGGGAAGGGCTTCAGGAGCAAGCACTGTGGAGAGGGCGGGACTGGGCAGCCAGAGAGAGTCTTGGGCAGAGGGAAAGACCAGGCCTCAGCTTCTCACCTGTGTAAAGTGGTCTCATCTGTAATCTGTGCTACCTTTTCTATTTTATTTCTGTGGCACTAAGGATGGAACCCAGGCCCTTGCCCATGCTAGGAAGTGCCCTACCACTAAGCCACACCCAGCCCACACTCTATCCTTATTGTCATTTAACCTCTACAACAACCCACAAGGCAAGCAGGGTTGGCGTTTTACCCACTTCATAGACAGGAAACATCAGTTCAGAGAGGTAAGTTCACGTGCTCGAGGTGTGCAGCCGGGGCTGACTGCAGACCCTGCCCTCTGCTGCTCTGAGCAGCAGAGGAGTCCTGCGTTTCTGATTTTCCTATCCCCATCCTCTGCTCCCGTCTCGGGCAAAAGGCTCCCTGAGGACGTGCTCCATGACCCTCCACAGCCAGAACCCTTCCTCCACCATGTGTGAGAGTCCTGGTCCTCCCTGTGTGGCCTGCAAATCCTCAGGCTCATACCAGGAGGCTTTCCCTAGGCAAGGAGCTCCAGGCTGGCTCAGATGGGAAGAGGACTAGGTGATGAGAAGTCACTGACCTGGAACAAACAGTCGCCCAGCCTTTGCCAGAGCCAGGAAAGGAAACTAACTAGCCTGGATAGGAAGCCTGGAAACTGGGGGGCACGATTGGTAAGGACTGGGGAGGCCAAAGCACAAACTGAGCCCTGAGTGCCATGCAGACCTCTTCCATTCTGGTTCCACCTCATCCAAAATCACATTCAGAACTACAAGATTTTTGAGGCCAACGCAACACCCACTGAACAGGTGGGCTGAGGAAATCTACACTTTCCAGGGCCTGTTTGGAGCACTTGAAGCACATTTCCCATCAGACCAGCCCAGCGGCTTCCTAAGATGACTGGCAGGTGATCTGACCACCCCTCTCTGGAGAAGGAAAATGGGCATTTTCCAAAGCAAGGAGGAAGCTCCAGTTCCCTAAAGACACCAATTTCCCCATCCTTGGCTTACTGCACCTTCAGGGCTACATGTTTCGGCAAAGGGAACACATGGCTGTTCCCATGTTGGAACTTCTGAGCCTATCTCCTCACCTCTGAGCTGGGGACAGGGCAGCCCTGCCTCACGGGATCACTGAGGGATGGAATGGGAGCAGGAATCAGGCACATGGCCTGGCTTGATGAAATACAGGCTCTGCATACTGCGGTGGGTGGGTGGACTTTGGGTCCTGCTTTCTACTCCTTGGCCAACAATCCCCTCTGTGCCCTTGGGCAGGTCACTCCACCTCGTTGGGCTTCACTGCGAGGGCTGGGGAAAGGACGTAAATATCAGGGCTCCTTTTCAGCACTAAGGCGCCTTTGTGGACACATTCAAATTACTGAGTGACCAACACACCAGGCCAAGGTGGCCACCAACAAAAGAGACAGTTTAGTCCCGGCTTTCCACGAGGGAAGATCTAGGACAGGACCACAAATGGACCTCTCCGATGCTTCCCCAGTGCTGTGACCTGCAAAGAACCATCTCAGAAACCAGGGAAAGGGAGGGAGACACAGGTACAGAAGGAAGAAAGGACCTGGCTGGAAGCTCCCTTCTAGGAAACACCCAGCTTCCCGTTTGGTCTCCCATGCAACAACAGGCCTGTGTCCAGAGGAGGAACAGCTGAGGGAGGAAGCTAGGTGAGAACAGAGAAAGGTGGGCGAGGACAGCTCGGGACCATCTCCCAGGTGAGCAGCCTGCATGCCAGATACATACATTGCCCCCACCCTTCCTGCTGAGGTTGTAAATTCCACTGGCAGTGATTCAATCGCCTGTCTTCTAAAACCAGAAGAGAGAAAAGAAACATTAGGGGTTCCATGGTCCATTAGCAACTCAAGAGAGGCTGAGGCTGGAAACATGGGCAGAGACCAGAAGGTGAGGGAGGAGCCTGAAGGAGGGGAGACACAGGCCTGACGGGCAGAGCACACTGAGCCCCGTCCTGAGCCTCTCTCTGTGCCTGGGTGGGGTGGGGTGTGACTGCTGATGCCTCCTGTGTCATCCTACCTCCTAGTTCAACGCCCCCTTTGATGTTGGCATCAAACTGTCTGGGACTCAGTACCAGCAGCACGGCCAGGCCCTGGAGAAGTTTCTTCAAGACATCTTTGGGGAAGAGGAGAAAGGTAAGTCCTTGCCTGGGCCAGGTTAACTCCATTTCTGTGAAATCCCAAATGGGTGCTGGGACGAGACGTTTTCTTCCCCAAGCCCTGCCTCTCCAATGAGTTCCTGATTCCTTGGCTCAGCATGGGGGTGAGCACAAAGTCTGTCTTCAAAGTCCTTAATCAGCTGGGGGCCCCGCTGAACCTCAACTTCCTGGCTACAAAATGGTGCTAACACCTGTTGTGAGAGTGAAAAACCTTTCAGTGTTGAGACACCAACTCTTATCTTTATTCTCAAACAAAGGTAACGAGTACCACTACTACATTCGGAACAGACTCCACAGCCAGACAAGCAAGGTTTTTGGCTGTTTCGAACCCCCTTGTCTTATAAAAAGATACCCAACTTGCCCTGATGGAGGAGGCAGACTTATCTGTCCCCAGCATAGCAGGCACCACATATCCCACACTGTGACGTAGGCAGGGTGCTCCCTGGCTGCCCAGGTGAGGGTGCCGAGACTCTGCTGAGGGACCGGCCCACAGTCACAGGCCATCCTCAAGTGTTGTCTGCCAACTCCACAGCACCACTGTGGAAGGAAACCGCCTGTGAGGGACCCTGCAGGATGGGACCCTGACACTGACTTGGCTCTTACATTCCAGAGGCCCCTGCTGACAAGTGATACTGCAGAACTGGCTGAGGTGTGCTCGCCTGGCTATCCCAGTGCTTCGGCGGCAACTCCTGAGACCCTTATGCTAGTTTAAGAGGCGAATAAATGTTCAAACCATGTGCCAAACGTTCGAACAGGGGACTTATTCCACCAGAGGGAAACCTCACATTTTAAACTACGGGAGGGATGCAAGTCAGGTTTCTGGAGAACAACAGAAGGGGAGGTGGGAGGAAAGACAGACAGAGCCAGGCACTTAAACATGAGAGGTTCCTGAGGGCAGCTGTACCTGGAATGTCATATGAGCCAGCAGTGGATGCATGGACAAAGAGACTTTGGGTGACAATATCGAAGCCAACATCCACACTAGGTCAGTCACTGAGGTGATGCGAACAAGACGAGAATGTCCACGAGTGAATTTGAAGTTAGATTTCAGTAGGTGCTCAAATGAGGCTCTTAACCCATCGGACAGGGCCAAAGTAAGAATACGCTCCTTCCTCGCATACTACATCAGAGACTTGGGGAAGTACTGGTCTCATGTGGTGAGGCTGGCTGTTCTCAAACACTTCCTGCCTCTAGCCCACAGCCAATGTGCGCCTTACCCTCGGTTGCATGCTGAACTCTGGTCAGAAGCTTATCTTCTGGGGGTAAACGAATGTGTGTGCCAGCCATACACACCATGGTGTGGATTCATGCCTGTGAAGATGCCTGGGACACACCACTGGGGGAGGAGGCCCCAAAGATAAGCACTGCAACGTCGCAGGGAAATGCGTAGGACGTGCTGCAGAGACAGAGCAAACATCCACACTGGGTAAAACTCTCAGAGGGCCCTGGGGGCCAAGTGTCTCCTCAGGTCAAGCTCGGGCCACCTGCACCCAGTGCAGTAACACTAGTCAGACCTGGTGGGCACCTGAAGCCCAGCTGCCTGTGGGCTTGTGGAGCTGGGTGTGCTCTAGACATCACCACCAGCATCTGCCCATTTCTCACAAATGCAGACTCCTGGGTTCCACCCTGGACTTAGAACCCACAGCTGGATGAAATCCTCAGGCCATTCTATGGCTCATGCGAAACAGAGGCAACTGGATCACACCTGGCAGCAGAGCCAGGTGGCCCTGCCCACTGTACGGCAGGTATGGACTTCACGCAAGTCCCACAGACATTTAGCCTGGCCAGTGGGAGTCCTCAGCAAGGCTGCAGCACTTGAAAACGTAGTTAGCTCTCTCAGAGTGCCCCACTCTGGCCTCAGCCATTGCCACCTCCCATGTGCCCTGTGAGCAGATGACACACACACACTTGCACTTCTAAGACAACCACAGACACTACTGAAAACTGTGTCACTTCCTTGACCACATAAGCATCTAAGCTCAGTAATAACCACAGATGGGAAGATTGTTATGACTAAAGCAACTAAAGGTATCTGCAGGCAGGTGAACTGGGGGAGAAGAGGGACGAAGGAAGACATGACCTTCCCTGGCTTCCAGCCAAGCAGGTCCTGCCTTCTAGGGCACCTCGTATAGGCACAGAGACTAGCACTTGTCCTGAAACTCAACCATAGCCCACTATCACTTGGCAGCCACTGACATGGGTACTGCCCTTTCTTGTATGGCAAGAGCTGGGGGGTCCAGGGCCTTGGCTGTCAAAGCAGCACAGGAGCCTGGTTAAACAGAATCCACTCCCTGGGCTGGGCAGACTGCTGACCACCTGATGTTTCCCCACACCCCAACAGAGACAAGAACCTCCTTACCTGCCTCCCACTGGCCCGGGTGTCCTTTAAAGTGCACAGACCAGGCACCTCCTCTGCACTGGACATCTTTCCTGGGCTGGGCAGTGAACAGTGCATGCAGCAGAGTGGTGGGCACCAGATTCTGTGCCATCCAACAGACTTGGGAGCTCTGAGGCTCCCCTGGGTCACTGCCAAGACTGAGCACCTGCCAAAGGGGAAGCTCTAAGTGTCCCATCCACTTTCTATGTTCCTGCTGTGCAACAGGCAAGCCTGCATAAGAGGGAGAAAGCTAGAGTTGAGAGAAACAAAGGAACTTCCCAAAACCACAGCAAGCACATCACTTACATGTCTCACTCTACCGCCTCTTTAGTCTGCATCCCTGGCCCTGCTGCCTAGATCCAAGGGACTTCTTGCTTGCTCCATTTTAGTGTTGGGAATGAGAACCAAGACTTTACTGGGCAAGCAACCTACCACTGAGATCACTAACTCTGATCCCCAAGGGTCTCTGAAGAGGACTGTGTGTAACCCATGAAGTGATCAAGGCATTTGTGGAGAAAAATATATTCCCCTTATAAAAAAAAATCTCCACTTAAGTGTTTTATAGTTAGCACAGCAGAATGTGTTCAACGTATCACACACTTATAGGTGTGCACTCAAAAACCCTTAAGACAGTGTGCGAACAGAAAAGCTAAGCTACCCAGACCTGTTGGCAGAATTGCGAGATGGGAGAACAAATGGGAGTCAGGATTTACTTAAAGTGTATACACCGGCCCAGCAGATTCTGTGTCCAGAATGGCTGAGTACTGAAGAGAAGGTTCAGCGTTTATACATTCTGTCGCAGTGGGCAGTCTTTCAGTGACACAGCAAGTGAGTTTACCAACACAGGGCGATGGCAGTTTTGTAACTTTTCTTTGAAAGAAAAGTGTCTCCTGAACCATATAGAACAGTTTCATAAACTTTATTTATAGGACAGTTAATCTGTCTCAGAACAAGGAGTTACAGCTACTGGGGGTGGGGGTGAGGAGGGGGCTGCCCAAGGCTGGGAAGGACGTTTTTAAGTCCTGCTTCCTATCAGATACCCTACTTACCCTGACCCCACTTAAACACCACTCACAAATTGCTTATAGAGATCAGGGTAGGAGCTGGCTCTCCACTGACCATCTCTGACTGCAACAGTTTGTTTATTCAACAGCTATATTTTCCAATGGCCACTTCCCCTTGTTTTCTAAAAAATGAATGACGTGGCCGGGTGTGGTGGTGCATGCCTGTAATCCCAGCACTCCGGAGGCTGAAGCAGGAGGATCGCTGTGAATTCGAGACCAGCCTGGGCTACATAGTGAGTTCCAGGTCAGTCTCAACTATACAGTGAGGACCCGGTCTCAAAAAACAAAAAATGATGCAAAAGCTAAAGTGGTGATAGTAAATGGTTAATATCAATTGAAAGAAAAATGAAAATGCCAGGGGTGGTGCTATATATCTGTAATCCCAGTACTTGGGAGGCTAAGGAAGGAGGATCACCGATAGTCACAGGCCAGCCTGGACTACACAGTAAGATCTTGTCTCAAACAAAACAAAGACCAGGAGAGCCCAAGAGCCCAGCATCAGCCACAAACAGACCACCAGTGGGTGGACAATCAACTGTGTGTTCCACGGTAAGAAACCAAGACAATTGCAGAACACGAAGAAAACATATGATCAGTGGCTGTCTAAACATGAGGAAGCAACAGGAATTGATTTAAGTCCAGTGGAAGGAGCCTCCTTTCTGTGTGTAGCTTCTGTTCCAACTTGTGCATGTGTGTGAAGATTAGTGCAGGCACTGGGTGTTAGCTGCAGAGTACATGCCCAGCATGGATGAGGCCCTGGGTCGATCCCTACATCAAAGAACAAGAAAAGGTCCCATAAAGAATGCAAAGAATGTCCTCTGACGTTTACCCAAAGACTTCAGTGTTCACATCCCAAGCCCACGTATTACTGATTCATCAGCCAAGTGTGCGGATTTCATTTTTCCTCCTCCTGCACTGAGCTGGAGAAATAAGAAGGCTCAATGTTTGCGTGCTCCTCAGAAGCTAAGCATAGCAGTGCAGCTGACTTCCCGATGCTCCAAGTCTGTGGTTCCTCTCACAGACAGGCATCATGCCTTCTCACATCATTTAACAGTGCTGCCAAAGGGACAGTAATTCTTGACAATGTCAGATGCTCAGCGGCACAGCTGGCCACCAGTACCACTGAGACACTTGGATAGACATGGACAGCACAGGAGGTAGCCAGAGGATCACTTTATTCTTAGAGATGGCCAAAGATGAGAATATATAAAGCATTCTGACCACACAAAAAACAATCAGGAAAAGCCACCCCCAAATGAAAACAAAACACAAGGCCACCCAATTCTCATGCCCAGCTAGGTGAGGTCTCACTGTTAACAGCATGCATATGATGGCTCTGAATCTTGAGAGAAAAAAGCAGTGACATTACCTCATGCTGCTCCTTGCCAGGGGAGTGCAGAGGGAGGGAGATGTCACAGAGTCATCACTTATAATCCCTCAGCACAGGGCAGGCCAGTGTCACACACAGGCAGTGTTGGCTCAAGGGCTTATTGTAGAGGAGATGGTCATGGTGTTGTTCATATGGGTGGTAATGAAGCATTGGATATACTCCAGCACCCCCGTCTTTCAAGGAGATCAAGGTCCCAATTTCCCCACACTGGCAAATTTGAGGCACAAACAGGTGACCCATGGGAGATGGACAGTGATCTAGGCCAACTTCTGGTAAGAAATATCCATTCCGCTTGGCCTCACGAGGTTCAAATGTCCCTTCCATACACAGCTAGAAATCCCCAATCAGTGAAGGATTTTATAACATAAGCTTCTAACAAACAAGATAAGGGACTCCAGGGGGCAGATCAGGATGAGGATTGCTTTTAACAAAGTGCGTGAGTCTCCTTGCATTTTATTCCTTGACCACCAGGACCTCTCGGACCTGCAATAGTCCCATTAGAAGGCACAGCAGAGAGATGGCAGAACTCCGACTTCTAAGAGGAAACACAGAGACCAAGGCAAGGGAGATGCCTGGAGAGGACCAGCGTGCTTGTTCTGCAAAGGGAAAATAACAGAGCCGGGTGGCCCCCAGCATGAGCCGCGGAGAATTAAGTTCTTTCTCCTGTCAACCTGAGTGGGGCACACTAGGGTCAGTCTCAAAGGATTAATCTAAGGGATTATTTTTGGTCCGATGTTCCAGGACAATGTGGCAAAAATGAAGTAAAGGGAGGCTAGGATGCTTGACACTTCAGCAAGTAGATTCTGCTGTAGACTGAACCCTTATCCATTTAACACCTCAGAAAAACCCTGGTTTTTCAGTAAACAGGGAGCACCTTCCTCAGAGTTCTCATCCCCCAGAGCCCTGTGCTCAGGACTCTCCATTGACGAGTGCCCTCTGCACACCTCCACTCTGACAGCAGTGGGCCAAGGAGAGATCAGTGGCTGAGTCCTTCTGCTTGTGCTGACACTGGGGCAGCAACAGTGTACGGAGGGGACCAGGGAAACAGGGGGTGGTCTTTCCAGAGAATCTCCCCCCAGACTTCCCACTTGAGGGTTTGTTTCTATAACCAGGAAGCAGGGACCAAGTTACACACCCACAGTGCTCAGATGAGGAAGAAAAGAGGATGACTTTATTCACAGGCTGCTCAAAGCACAGGGACTTGGACTGGCAGACTCATATCCTTACGTGGCATTCATCCAGGGATTGCCCTGGAACATTCTGACCAAGAGGCAGAACCCAGCTGCCATTCTGGGCAGCCCCCTTACCCCCACCCATGCCCCACCCACCCACCAGCCAGGAGCTGAAGCCTTAGCACGGAGTTCTGAGGACAATGTCCAATCTTGGTATTCTGTTCCAAAAGGCTCTGCAGTCACATCCTTGACCTGGGACACAGGCAAAGTTCGGACCCAGCCCATGTTTGGTCAGGCTGCTGGTCACCCTGGAGATTTGAAAGAGAAAAGGAAGAAGGTTCCAGGCCAAGTTCACACAAGACAAATCAGGCTTCATGCTCACCCTGTTTATATTCTGTACATTAAGAAAATGTAGCCAAAGACCTGCTTGGCCTGATGTCTAAAAGCACATCATGTGAACAGCATGACCTTTTCCAAGGCTCCTGCTTGCCTCCTCTGGCTTACAGGCTGTAGATGCGACTGGTGTTCTCACGCAAAGCAGCCAAGGTGTTGGACAGTGGCTCCTCTTTAATCCTGGCAATCTCTCGAACCGTGTGCAAGGCCAGGCCAGGGTGGGCATACTGGCAAAGGCTTTTGGGAACCTGGAAGACACCAAGAGTGCAGAACATCGCTGTGTCTTCTGCACACAGCCAGATATTGAACTCCCTCCCAGCCCTTCCCCAGCAAGGACCTCTTTGGGGCTGCCCTGTAGAGACCCCTTTACCTGCAGGTGCAGGGAGAGTCCTAGCAGGGGCTCTGGGTGAGCAGGGTCCCACGCTTCTGTGGACTGCCCTCTACAGGGTAGGGCTTTGCACTGCCTGGAAGAGAGTGGTTACCCTTCAGCTTCTCTGCCCCCTAGACTTTAGGTTCTGTAGAGCAACAGCAAGGACACATCTACACAGCCAGGGTGGGACCTGGAAGTCACTGGGGCACTGGGGCTCTGACCATCCACCTCCCTGCCCTCTTCCCTTGGTGCCTCAACTCAGCCTGAACACAGCCCTACCTGGCGAGGGAGAAAGTAGGGAGCATCAGTCTCCACAATGATTCGCTCCAGGGGGATCTGCTTCAGAGCGTCCCGGGCCTCCCAGGCAGAAGAGTATGTCAGCACTGCAGTGAAGCCCACAGACATGTTGGGGAAGTACTTCAACAGAGGCTCGATGACTGGGTAGCTGCCGGTGAAGCAGTGCCTGCAGGGAGAATGCCAGGCCAGGATTTGCCCACGGTCCTCTAGGCCTCGGGCCCTCACTGAGTCACAGACATGAAGCACCTACACTCAAGGGAGGGGCTCCACCGTAACACAGACAGATGCTGGCACCAACACAGTCAGACCCAGGGCAATCACAGGGAGTGACACTCAGCAAAGCCCCTCCGTGTCACACAGCACCATATAGCCACTTGTGACACAGTGCAGCATAGCTTATAACAGGAAAAGAGAACAGAATTAAACCGGTCCTCTAAGGTTACAACGGCAGCATGAGAAAAATTAAGCCTATGTAGTCCAAAGACGCATACACACAAAATAAAAATAATGAGGACGCCGATCAGTGGCAGAGCGCTTGCCTAGCATGTGAGACCCTGGGTTCTGTCATCAGCACCACAAAAACATAGGTAATGGGCTGTAGGTGACTTTTCTTCTCTACATATGACAGCTGCTCACACTCTTGGTACAGTACACTACAGTTAATCCATCTGGGAGCCAAAGGCCTCCTTGGCCTAACACTGCCTTGGCACACTCGCCTTCATCTGTCCGTCACCATGTCACTGAAGCAACAGAAAACAGACTGGCTATGCCAGAGGAGCAGCATGCCTGGGCCTCAGTTGCAGTGCATACTCTGTTCTCTGCTCAGGCTCCTAGAAGGCAGCAGCACAGAGACCTGCAGCTCCAACCCCGTGTTTTCAATTAACCCCTCTTGTCCATCTTTAACAAGTACCTCAAGCATCACCTCTCAAGCCCTTCTAGCCAGAAAAAGCATCTATGCCTACCTCAGTCAGCCCTACACTCTGTATACAGAAGCCACCAACTGGCCCATCTGACCCAGGCATTCTCAAAGCCGAGCCAATGCCCAGCAGCCAAGGCATTCACCAAACTGGACTTCAGAACCCTAGAAATCCTCAGATAAAACACATCCTATATTTTCATGTTAACAGGGAGAAAGGAGCTTTCAAATTTAAAAAAGGGAAAAAAATTTTTTTTAAAGATGCCCTGAAGGGTCAGGGATGTAGCTCAGTGGAGCTGTGCCTGCCTGGCAAGTGCAAGGTCCTGAGTCCAATTCCCAGGGCTGAAAGAAGAAAAAAAGATGCCCTGTATATTCTCTGTGTGCTAAGCCACTGGACCCAAAAGGACGAACAGTCCCCACTTCTGAGAACTGAAAACCTTTTCTTCCTCACTGGTGTCTCAGGGTATCAGCTAAAGCCAGACACCACAGAAAAACAACAGGCAAGTGTGGTAAGAAATCTCATATGCTTCACTATACTTTAGAAAAGGTACTAAAGATGATATGATGCCTGCCTCGCTAGCACAAGGACCTGAGTTTGATCCCCGGTACCAAAAAAAAGCTGTAACATAAATTCAGATCTCACAGGGTCCCAACACAGGAAAAAAAGTAATGTAAGATAAAACGTCATCACTGTTCTCCTCAGTGAGCTCAGACAGAACAATTTTTCATTTGCTGCAGAAGCTGCAGCCTTCTAACCTATGGATCTTGTAGTCAAAGGGCACAAATTTTTTCATGATGTCAAGCAGATCTTCATCAGCTTCTCGGCAATGGATGACCAAGGGCTTCTTTAGAGAGACAGCCAGCTGTAGCTGTCTCTCAAATACCTGCGAGAAGAGAAACGCACATCATCTGGTCAGTAACACTTCAGAAGTCTGACATCTCTAGAACATCCAGCTTAAGGACACCTCCCTGTCCAATTCTTTGTACAATTTAAAATCCCACAGTGGAACCGTCCACTTTCTAGAGAGCAGCATGTGCTCAAAGCCCTGGGTCTGACTGATAATCTGTGGTCTGCACAGGGCACTGCTGCAGGAGGGCAGTGATGGACAGGGCTTGAGAACAATGAGCACAGAGCTCCAGTCCTTCACCTCACCAGCCCACCTTTGACCTTGTGCTATCCTGGGATAGGTATGATGCACTTTCCTTGTGCCAGAGCTGTGCCAAACACACACCTCTCCAGCACTCACTCAAAGGTGTTGGAAATAAACACTATACTTAGTTTTTACAATGTGCTTTCTTTACTCACTCCAAACTGGACATCCTTCTAGGTTACTATGAACAGATCTGTTTCATTCTTTTTAAATCTAGCCACTTTTAAATCTTCATTAGTAAAATGCACATATTATTAATATTATAAGTGAAAAAAATAGGGCTAAGCCAGGCATGGTGGCACACATCTGTGTTGAGAGCAATTCTACATAAATTTTGGGGTAAATCACTTCATAATTAAAGTATGGATTGTGACCTGGAGCCGGGGCAGTTCTAATCTTTCTGCTGCTGGGGCTGTGCTAGCTGCCTGCCAGCCAGCCTGCGCACTCACATCCTCCCTGCCCTACAGCCCTGGAAGCTCCCAACTGTCATTGTGACTGTCACTGCAGCTAGCTTGCTCCTCTCCTTTCCACCAGGCTAAGGGGAGAGAGGATGTATAGGCCTGGGGGTGTGGGGCAGAGGGTACCACCTTGTTCTTCCTCCAGATCTTCTGCCCTCAGGCTGCTGTGGAGTGATCAAGCCAGAGCCTTGCAGATGGAGGGGTCAGAAAGACAGAAGCTGTGACTGAGTGGTGAGAGAGTGGGGAACAAAGATGCTACTAGAAAGGAACCACACAGGCAAGAGGCTTGGAAGCGAGGGACAGCAAGGACACAGCCCAGCTTGGCCTAGGCTGGGCAGCTCAAGGGAGACAGATGGGCTGCTTGGAAGCCAGCAGAATTTTGGAGGACTGAGGTTCAGAATGGAGTGGAGAATGCAGGATGGAGGGAAGAGAAGAAAGGGGAAGGGAAATAAAGGAAAATGTGGGAGGAGTAGCTGGGAATCTGTGAGTAGCAGGAAGGGTCGTCGAGGAAGGCCACTGGGGGCTGCAGACCCAGGAATGAGTGGGAAGGTCAGCAGGAATTAAAAACGGCCAGGGATTTAGCTCAGTGTTGTCATGTCCACCTCACAAGAGCAAGGTCCTGAGTTCATTCCCTGGTACAGGGGCAGGGGGAAGGAATCAGAAATGGGTTGAGAGCTGAAGGGTTCATCAGGCATATTGATTAAAGTGAACTGGTGACTTGGAAAAAAACCTAAAGTGTTAGTATAGCTGTCTAAGGCCCAATGTCCCTTGCCCTCAAGGCGGCTCTGGCACTCGGAAACACGAAAGTGTTTTGCGTGCAGTTACAGCTGAGGCCTCAATGGTCTGGTGATGCTGTGGCACCATCAAGATTATATCAGCTGAAGACATCCTGGTTCTTTGAGAACCATGTAGTAATTTAAAAAAAGAGAGAAAGGCTTCACCGGGGAGGGACAAGTTCCTAATCAGCTCAACTCATCCCACCTACTGCTGCAGGAAGGCTCTCCTTACAGCCCTCATCAACCTCTGAGCCTCACCATCCCAGGGTTACCACAGTCCCTATGTTAGCAAATACCCCCAATGATGGTGTGTACCCAAGAGATACTGGCTTTGCCCGCTCTGAGGCACTGACCTCCTGGCCCCCGTACACTTTGAAGTTACACAAGTCTTTCTTGTCTTTTTTCTCTTTAGTCCTCCTGTCCCTCTTGCAGTTGGAGGGTGGTCGCGCTGTTAGCCCTGTAACCTTAGCACTCAGGGTGGTTGAGTCAGGGGGACCACAACTTTGAGTACCACCTAGGCAATGTAGGGAGACCCTGTCTCAACACTGCTACAAAGAATCCACTTGTCAAAAACAGGTTTTCTGTCATGAGAAAAAGAAGAGTTTATTCAAGTTAACAGACTAAAATCAGGAGATTCTAACAGCTAGCTGGGGGAAAGCTGAGTTTATCACATCCATGTGTGAATGGGCTGACACTGGGGGAGAGGGAGAGGCAGCTAGCTGGAAACATTTCTTCCTTGAATGGATAGGCTAACACCAGGAGAGAGAAATGTCAGCAACTAACTGGAAAAGGAATTAGGCTTACATAGGTATTGGAGGGCTAAGGAATCTGGGGTAATATATTTATGATTTGGATGTCTACAGATGATCTGCTCAGGTGTGAGAGTTACTAAACTTCTTGGTGCCAGGGAGGTTGTATACTACATTTGAGTCCATTTGTCCTGTTTACTGGGAAGCTGCTGAAAGCAACCTGTTTGCTTTTTCTGTTGGTTTAGGGCAGGCCTGACAAAAATTAAATAAAGAAACTTTAAAGAGGGGTGGAGAGCATCCCTGGGTTCAATGCTCAGTTCTACAGGGTGGACAGGGTGGAGCAGGGGAGTAGGACTAGAACCTATTCTTTTAACAAGGTCACAACAAACCTATTACTTCGTTATGAGCAAATTACCTTATCTAAAACAGTATTTTCCTGAGCAGCTTTTTCAATTGTGGAATATAATTCCTGTTAGCATTTTAGCAAGAAATGTGGAGGTGCATTTGGTAGTAAAGTGACTGCCACTTGAGGACATTTACAAGTGTAATGCAGGTTAGAGGTGCTAACCTTTGTGAAACAAAAGACACTAGCCAATGGTAACAATTCTGTTGGCTCCGTGTTCTCATCTGAAGGAGAAGATCACAGATACCCCAGTGGCAGAATGCTTGGCAGGAGCTTCAAGCGGGGCCATGCCCCTCCCACTCCTGTTGCATGTGTTACCTGTTCATTCATCTGCCCCTCCTTTGACCCCTACTGAGGCATGAGGTTTCAGGAGAGCACAATTTCACCTTTTAAGTGTGTTGTCTCTAACAAACTATCCCTCAGAATAGCCAGGAGCCAGCCATGTTGACACACACTTTTAATCCTAACCCTTGGGAGACAGAGGCAGAAGAATCACCTTGAGTTTAAAGCCAGCTCTGGCTAAATAGTGAGTTCAAGACCAGTCTGAACTACACAGTGAGACCCTATCTCAACAAACACACACACAAACAATAGCCAAGCAAACTATTATAGCCTTAGGGTGAAATATTACACAGCTGTATAAAAAGTATAGTTTTCAAAGTATAGTTAATAGGAAAATGTTAACATTTAAAACTATTACTTATCTTTCTAATTTCTTTTTCTTTAGAAAAGATCATAGGGCAAGGATACGTAGAACTCGATAGATCATGTGGCTCAGCATGCCCAAGGCCCTGAGTTCAATCCACATTCAGAAGACATATTTCCTTGACTCAGTGGCAGTGATTACAAGACAAGCTACCAACTGCCCCTTCTAAGTTTCCAATGAACAATACCATGAAATGTATTATGGTCCAAATTTCAAAATGTTAAGACCAAAGAGTTCCCTAGTATGCAGGGTTCTGTAACTGTGTGCAGCTACCCATAGCACTTGTCCCGACTAGGAAATGATGCACATCAACACACAGCCATTCACCCAACACACTCTGGTTCCTGAGGGTCCACCTTTTCCCAGGGTTCTGGAGCTCATCAGCCTCCCCAGGGGTGCTCCCAGGCATTTCTCATATGCTTATTACCTCAATAATAATTAATTCCAGTCAAACACAGAGGCAGATGCAGCCAGGGCTCAGCCAGCAAGATGAGGAAGGATGTTCCATTCTTCCTGGCTTTTGAACCAAAGGATTCTGATAATCACATTGGAGGGTGTGTGCAAGTTACACATGAAATATCTAGGATCTAATCCTGGGAAGGTAAATGGTTAAATCTGTGAACACACAGATAAGGAAAGAGTTACTGGGGGTTTACCCCAGGGAGCAGAATAACTATCCACTGTAACCCTAATATTTGTATTTTCTTTTCCTCTATTTTTGAATCCTTCCAGAAATATTAGGTAACAGACCAAACTTTCTTTTTTGGGTGCAGATGTGTGAACTGAAGGCCTTGTGCACATTCAACCACTGAGCTACATCCCTAGCTCTCTCAGAAGAAGCCAGGTCTGAACCCCTAACAAACTGGCCAGATCTGTAGCTCCCAACAGGCTCTTTCTTCCCTTCACAAGAGACAACCCAAAGGAGCACCCACTGCAAACCTATAACCCTTGGGCTCTGAGGGAACGTGACTCAAGGCACAGGTGCATCCAGGGTGGCTGCTAGTCACCATTTTCCTCTTTTGGGTAACGTATTTTAGACTTACAGCAAGAACCTGCTGCTTCTGTTCATCCTAGTGTCCCCTAGTGTTTTATTTTGCTTTTTCTGAGATAAGGTCTTGCTGTGTAATTCAGGTGGCCTGGAACTCAAGAGTAACCCGAATGCTGGGGGTACAGGTGGGCAACACCAGACTTGGCTTCCTCAAGTATTAACAGAAATATTTTCCAGCTGTTCTCTCTTTGACATAAGCTTTGTGTTTTGCCCTAACCCCAGCCAGTAATTTGTCCCATCATACCAAGACTATTTTCTAGTCTTGTGTCCCATCATACCAGGCCAAAAAATAGCTGAACTTCACTGATCACTGCTGGTACTGCTTTAAGTCCAGCTTTCTGGACAGTATGCTCATCTATTTCCATACCCAAATATGAAACTTTAGTGACTCAGCAAAGAAAAAGGTACTGTGAAATACCAAGTAAGTATCCACTACACATCTGTTACCCAAAACACTCCATGAGGGTTTTCCTGAAATGTCCCTCTTCCTACACTGCTCCTGCCCTGTATTACAAAAAAGCCTGTTGGGAAAATAGGGTATTAAATATTTGTCTCACTTCCCTAAAAATCAATTATTCTCCTATGTTCAGACTTAGTTATTTTACTATCAGGTCTGGTTAATAGATTACCACCTCAAGGCAGATCTGAGAGGAGGCCCATGGGAAAGCTGGCAAGCAGTCTCTGCAAGGCAGGACCACACGCACCTGCTCCCTGCCACGGGAGGCCTGGAGTCTAGGGTGCAGATACTGAGGAGACCCAACAGCTTGCTTCGCTGCCTAGGACAGTGACATTTCCTCCTGAGTGCTGCAGGGGCGTAGGAAGGGATGGGCAAAGGGGCTCACCCATTCCTACTCATTCCCAGTCAGAAACCCACTGAAATGCTACTAGGACTCTTACTCTGCTGAATACTCAAAAAATACTGGGAGGGAAAAATATTATGACAGCAATAGTCATTATCTCTGGCCAAATGAGAATCATCTTCTTTAAACATTTTTGTAATTTGCAAAAATCCCACAGTGGGCAGATTTAACTTTAAAAAACAAAAACAAGGGCCAGAGATTTAGCTGGGTAGTTCTGGCACCTGCCTTGTAAGATCAAGGAGCCGAGTTCAACCCTCAGGACCAAAAAACCAAAAAAACTCCACAAAACAAAACAAAAACATACCTCACAAGTAAGTGCAAGGACCCAAGCTCGATCACTGGTACCAAAAAAACAAAACCAAACCCAAAGTTTGTTGCTTCCCAAGAAAGAAAACAAGCAAATGCCTTGACACTGATTATTAGCCACCTGTCACAAAGTGCCTCTTCCCCCTCTCACATAAGAGTGCTGACAGATAGGAGAGGAATACGACTTGTCTATCCCCAGCACCACAAGGGGTAAAGTGCTGCAAGGTAAGAAATAGCTTGTGAAGCGCTTGACAAGGACATCCACAGAATGGGAGAGGAGCAAGGGAATTTTGATGACTTCTAAACTTTTTTGTTCCAAAAGTAGAGAAAATCTTACAGTTAGGTTTCAACAACTAAAAGAATAATTATAATTAAAGCAGAGACTGAAGCAAGCCTTGTTACCTTGTGCTGTTCTGGGACAGGTGTGGTGCACTTGTAAGAGTAATCCAGGCCCATTTCCCCAAATGCCACAGCCTTGGGGTGCCTTAAGGCTTGCAAAAGATTTCTTTCTTGACTCTCACTATAGTACCGGGCAAAATGAGGGTGACAGCCAAAGGCCCCCCAAACCTGATCCTCTTTCAATAGCTCCTCCCACAGGCAATCTGTCAGGGTCCGAGGATCACAGAAGTCTGAGATGCAGCCCTGAAACTCCTTAGGGAAGGAGCTGCTATACATTTTCCTGAACTTTGTGAAGGTCCCTTTAAAAGACAGCTTGGAGTAGAGCATGTCCAAGTGACAATGGGTATCAATGAAGCCCTCCTCCAGGCCTGGATCCTGCTGGCTCCTCGGCAGGAAAGTAGATGTGTGTCCTCCACTGAAACGAGGTGGTGTCTCCTCTCGGAATGTTCTTTTCTCCTTCAGAGCTTCTGGAGCTCTGTCTCCAGAGCTTCTGGAGAAATAAAATGAGCGAGAATTCTTCGATCTGCCTTTGTCTGTGGCCTTTAGATCTCTGGAGGTATTCTGGGCACCCTCTGCGGGGCTGGGGGAATCATCACACAGGAGGCTGCAGCTCCTCTTCCCAGCCTGCACTGTGTCATGGCTGCTGCTGCATACAGAGGGGCAGCCTGCAGTCTTGGGGCTGCTGGTCCAGTAACTGGCATAGTCGCACCAAGGACTACTATACAAATGAGGAGGGTACATGACATAGTCAGTGGGAAAGGAAGAAGGTTCTGGAACTGCTGAGTATTTCAGTGAGGTGGGCTCCTCCTGAGAGAATCTGACTGTGGTGACATCGTCCACATCAGACCAGTCGCTTCCTGAAGAGGTGTGCTCCAGCACCACCTCCCTGTCTTTATGCTGCAGAAAGGAAATGACAATGTTTTAGTCTTCTCATGTGCAAACAACCCTTGTGCTTAGTGCCCTGGTGTGAGGATGGTTTATCCCTCATGGGGGAGACTAATCCCCACTATGAGGACCCAAGAGGGTGGAAATTTAATCCAACTGTAGTGTTTGGAGGTAGGACCTTTGGGAAGTAGTTTAGGTTAGAGAAAGTCAACAGGATGGAGGCCCAGGGTTGAATCCTGGTAGATTTATAGATTGACAGAGAGAGACCAGACAATAAGACACAAGTGAGCTCTCTGTCTCTTGCCATGAGATGTACTGCCCACCTTGGGTCTCTGCCAGCAAGAATACAGCCCCCTGACCTTGGACTAGAACCACAAGCAAATTATACTGTTATTAGCAAAGCTATTGGCAGACATAACCCCTGGCTCATTTTCCATGCAGTGGCATATTAGCTCACCTTTAACCTGGTTGCCTTAAAATCTTCACAAACTCCAGAAGTGAAACCTTCCAGGTTACAAGGCAGTCCACAGCTGTGAACAGTCCTATCAGGTTTGGGGAATGCACCTGTGATCACTGCATTCTGCCCCTAAAGGGGATGCTATACCTGTGTTTCTTCCCTCAATGGTCCCTCTGGAGAAAAACTGTGCACTCCACATGGGGAACTCAGGGAAAGCAGTGACACTTAACAATGTTTCCAATACACCTAAAATGCAAAACCACCACCTCTGTGGTCTATCTAAAACATGTCCCCAAATTACTGGGTCTGTGGCTTGCCCCCAAATCCATGTTACTATGCGTCACCTGCAACACAAAGAACACAGAAGGAGAGCTGTGGGAGCTCCAGGGGTAGGTCACACAGCCTTGTGGCCTCTAGCTGTGCTCTCAGCTACTCCAAGGGCAGCAAAGCCACATCCAATGGGTCACCAGCAGGTATAAGTGGGTGGCCAGCCACCCACTAAGCTGAGAGCCAGCACAGCTGTCATCCCATCCAGCCATGGGCGATCCCCACAAGGTCAGCCCTGGGTACACTTTCTCAACTCCTGAGTCACAAACGTGAAAGCAAAACAAATCTCTAAGCCACTGACTAGCAATAGTAAGAGGAACAGCCAGGCCTTACGTCAAATCGATTTAGCACTAACAAGATGGAAGCCGCTGACGGTTAGAAGCTTTTGTTTTTTCACTGAGATCTGGATAGGGCCTGGCAAACAATAACTGCTCACAGATATTCACTAAATTTGTAGAACTAATGATGGACTCACCTTCACATCATCACCAAGTGGGGAGCATTTTAAAAATAAATTTTAAAACCCACCTCACCCTGAAATACTATGACTCAACGGCCAAGAGTTCAGGCCAAGAAATCTAACTTTCCATGTAACTTTGATGAAGCAAGGTCTGAGAAATACAGCAAGCACACAGATACCAACTGGGACTAAAGCCAACTTTACTTCAATCCATCATTTCTTGATAATGAAGCCATTTATATCTACCAGTGCCAGACAGCTTGAACAAGAGGCCTTATAAGGTTATTTTCTTGCCAGGCATGGTGGCACATGCCTACAATCCTAGTGGCTGGGAGGCTGAGGCAGGAGGATCACCACAAATTTGAGGCCTGCATGGTCTATATAGTAAGTTCAAGGTCAGGCTGAACTACATAGCAAGGCTCTGTCTCAAAAAAAAAAAAAAAAAATTATTTTTTTTAATAGTTAAGCAAATAATAGTCCACACAGTAAAACAAAAAACTCACTGTGAAAGACCATTACAATCAAACTGACTACCTGCTGGGATAAAACATGTGCTTCTGTTATAGTCATACTGTCTATACTAACGCACCATACCCCACATTCTGCAGAAGGAAACAAATACTGACAAGAGTAACAAACTCTTTTTACAGTACGGGGGATTGAACCCAAGTCCTTCACACTGAGCCATCCCTGGCCCCTCTTTAAGATTATGTCTTACTAAATTGCTAAGATGCCCAAACCTGAGCTTTTGTCTCACTCAGCCTCCCAGAGTGCAGGGATTACAGATGTGTGCTATCACATCCAGCTATGACCACAAAAATTTAAATGAATTATGTTTCCTATTTTAAGCTTTACTGTATATTTCTTCTTGTTACTGATTTTTTTTCCTTCATACTGGGGATCAAACCCAAGGCCTTGTGTAATCTAGGCAAGTGCTCTCAGTGGGCTATATTCCATTTCTACCATCCTAAGCCCTTTTTATTTTTTCCAATCCTCGGATTTTTTTTTTTGGCGGGGTACTGGGGATTGAACTCAGGACCTTGCACTTGTGAGGCAGGTGGGAGAACCACTGAGCTAAATCTCCGGCCCTGCCCCTTTTTATTTTTTGCGACAGTAAACTTCCCTAGCTGGCCTTGAATTTGTAGCCCTCCTGCCTCAGCCTCCCCAGATCTGGGATCATGTCAGCCACTGCACCACTTATTTCTTGAATAACAGAAATATCCAACAGAATCTTTTCTAAAATGCAAGGCAAGGACTGAGGTTGTAGGTCAGTGGTAGAACAGGTGGGTAGCATGTGGGAGACTCTGGGTTTCATCCCTGACATGCACACACACACAGAAAATTAAATTGCAGCATGTTTTAAGTTTTACCTAAGGCCATGCATGGAAGTGAATGCCTGTAATCCCAGCAAATCCCAGTACTTTAGAGGCTGAAGCAAGAGGATAACCATGAAGTCTAGGTCAGCTTGAGACACACAATGAGTTCAAGGCCAGCCTGAGCAAAGCAAGACTTCATCTCAAAAACAAAAAAAACAAAAACCCCCCAAAACACAAAAACCACCAAATTTGAACTGAATTTTTGAAGCTACATGACAGTTACCTGGGTATTCACTATACTACTGTATTTACTTTTGACTATATTCAATTCAGACCAAAAAAAATCTTGCCTGAGCTTGACAAGATCTGCTTTTTCCTGCTGAATTTTCCAATGAGACATACTGCAATCATCATTCTCCTTCGGTACAAGTACACCTGAAAGTTACAGTGCTTCTCACACACACTAACATATAACATCTTTGCAATCCAGCTCTTCATGTGTATCTACGTGAAGATATAAAGATATATAAGCCAAGTGTGGAGGTCCACACCTGTAATCCTCCCATTCTGGAAGCCTGAGGGAGGAGAATACCAAGTTCCAACTCAACATAGGCAACTGAGACCCCGATTCAAAAATGGGGCGAGGGGCGCTAAGGATGCTGTTCAGTGCAAGGCCCTGAGTCCAATTCCAAGTACTGCCAAAAAGGCTATTTTACTATTTTTTTCCAACAAAAGTTAATCTGATTAGAATAACCAAAAATGAACAAGTAAATATAGGTAAAATTTTCATCCCAAACAAGTATCCCTCAGAAAAGAAGGCAGCACCTTATAATCAGACCCTTACGAAGCCTGTGGCACTACACAGTACTCTTTTATTTAAGGGAGACAAATGACCCCAAAAAGCCCATCAGTATGGCTGGATTAGAAGATTCCTGGAGCATCAGTGCTGTCAGAACATGGGCCCAGTGGGAGGCGGTCTCTAGGGCCATGCCTTTGAATGGTGTATCTCCCCCCACCCCACCCCCGGCTGTGCTCACCCTGTACTCTACTTCCACACCTCCGTGAGCAGCTCTTCTCCATCATTTCCTTCTTATTTTTTGACTTGGAACCAAATGACTGTGGACTGAAAATAAATGTTTCTTCCTTTAAGTTACGGGTATCAGGTATTAGGTCCCAGCAATCAGAAAGATGAACAATAAAGACCTTAACCCAGCTCATTTTGGATGTTTACTAGGGTTCCCTAAACTAGCTGCTTTTTGTTTTCTTTTGTTTTGGTTTATTGAGACAGGGTCTCACTATGTAGATCAAGCTGGCCTTGAACTTGAAGCAATTCTCCTGTCTCAGCCCCCCAAGTGCTACCAAATAGTTTTTTAATCCCCCTAACTCTCAATTAAATAGGAAAACAAGAGCACTTCAGATAATATAAACTGACAGAAAAACAACTAAAATAGCAGAGTTGGAAGATAAAGGTGAGGAAATCTACAAAACAAAAAAACTGGATAGAAAATAAGGCAAAGGCAACAAAATTAGAGGACTGGTTCTGGGAATCCAACATCCAAATAATGCAACACAGAGAAAGAGAAAACAAACACAAATATGGGGAAAAAAAAATCAGCAAAATAATTCAAGAGCCAGGCATGTTGGCCCACACCTGTAATTCTAGCACTGAGGAGGATGAGGCAGAAGGAATGCTGTGAGTTCAAGATCAGCCTGTGCAAAATAGTAAGTTCAAAGCCAGCCTGAACTACACAGCAAGAACCGATATCAAAAAAACAAACAACAAACAACAACAAAAACAGAAACTCTGAAATTGCTGGAAGACAAAATACGGGAGACACTTGAAGCCACAGAAACAGGAAAATTATTTCCTGAATAGAACTCCAATAGCAGAGAAAATAATTTCAAGAATCAACAAATTTAAAAGCTTCTCTACCAGGTATTGTGGCACCTGTCTGTAATCCCAGCACTCTGGAAGGCTGAGGCAGGAGGATGACAAGTTTGAGCCTTTTGATGACTTAGAAAAACTATGTCTCAAAATATAAAAAAGATTGGGGTTGTAGCTCAATGGGAAGGCCCGGGTTCAATCTCCAGTACTGAAAAAACAAATCAACAAACAAGCAAGCAAGCAAACAAAAACAACGAATGCTGGCAAGGATGCAGAGGAAAAAAATGAACCCTCCTGGAAATGTGAACCAGTGCAACCACTATGGAAATCAGCATGCAGAGTCCTCCATAGAAATTCCATCTGACCTGCCAATACCTCTCCTGGGTATAGCCTAAAAGAATTAATGGTGTCATACAGGGAAACATGCATACCCATTTTACAGCAGTGCCATTCAAACAGCTCAGCCCTAGAAACAGCCTAGACACCTATCAACAGATGGACAGGTTAAAAAAAATGTGGTCTATATATACAATGGGATCTTAGCCACAGAGAATGAAATGGTACCATTTGCAGGAAAATGGATGGAACTCAAAACCATCATGCTAAGCAAAGTAAGCCCAACTCAAAGTTAAATATCATATGCTTTCTCTTATCTGAGAAACCCAAAATATAGACAAAATTTAAGTATCTCACTGTTTTTCTTATATGAGAAACCCAAAGTATAAATGAGGAGCAAAGTAAAAGATATTAGGAAGTAGGGAGATCTTTTTCAAATGTAAAGGAGAACAAGAGATGGAGGGAGGAGAGAAGGGGAGAGGAATTTTAAAAAATGAGTTGAACAGGAGAAAATGGAAATAAGAGCTTTTACAAATGGAGAGAGGAAGAAGGGCTGGAGGGAACAGGGAGGAAAGAGGATGGAGGAAAAAAAAAAAATCCAGAGGCGTTATGTACATGTACAAACTCCCCATGATAAATGTAATCTTATGTATTGCAAACATGTATTAAAAAAATACATAAAGGAGAGATGATAGACTCTTAGCGATGGGAAAGGGGACCAGGAAGAGGTGAGAAGGAAAGAGGGGAGGGAGCACAATCAAAGTCAAATGCATGTACCAATTTCCCAGAAGAAACATCACTCTTGTATTACAAACACGAACTAATTAAAACAAAAAGATTTTTTAAAGAAAAATTCTACAAGATTTCAGGGAGGAAAACAAATGAAACAACCTTATACCAAGAATCAGGAACCAGAATAGCTTCACACATCTCAACAAAAGTCAAAGTAAAAAGACAAAGGAACAATGCTTTCAGAATCCCCTCCCCAAAATGACTTCCAATTTGGGACTTCAATAGAACCAAGCCTGGCATTAAGGCGGAGTATAAAGGCAGTCTCAGACACGTTAAGTTTTCCAAAAACTGCCTCCCATCATTAACATGTAGGAGCTAAGTGAAGCTCAGTAGTGGACGTGTGATACCTCTGAGTTCCTTTCTCAGCACTGCCAATAACAACAACAACAAAAACAACAGCAGTATCACAACTTAGGAAACACCAAGTACATTTAATCACGAAAACTAAAAACGCAGACGCTTGTTGTGTGCTTCACTTACCTTCTGGGTTTCTACACTCGAGTCAACGTCATCCACAAACTCTAGGGGTGGAGAAGGCTTGTTAACGACTGTTCTTTGGCCTTCAAGAGGCTCAGCACAGGGTTTCTCCTGAGGGTCTATAACCACTCTCCTGTCACAGAAGCTGCCCCTGTCTAGCACAGGCCTTTCCTCTTCCACCTTGACCTGTGGGGATGGCTCTCTCTTCTTCTGGGGAGCAGTGAGGGAGACACTCCGGGCTGGTCCTTGCTCTCCCGGACTTGGCTTCACCCTTGGGGCTGCAGCCTCTCCCTTCCTTCTGGGCATCGATTTCCCCAGGATGCCCTGGATGGCCTTCAGGTAGATGACAGTGGAGCCCTGGTCTCGAAGCCTATCCCTTTTCCTCTTCTGGATCTTGTCCGGCTCCTCCATCACATCATTCTGACCCTCAGCTTTAGCTGCAAACTCAGAGTTGATGGAGTTATGGGAACTATCTTTGGAATCAACCTGGAAGGGAAAAAAAAACACTTTTCAAGAGGTTATCACTTTCGTGTACAAAGCGCTTGGCACATTACAAATCCATGGTAGTTCTGCCAGCCATAGCACAAGTGACTGTGGCTGAGAAAAAGATGTTTTCACAATGGAGATCTCAGCCCACTCCAGGGAGAGGCACTGCTATAAAAGAGACTGAACTGCGGCCATTTTTTATCCCCTGCCTTCTCAGTCATCAGGTGACTCCCCGTGCAGTGGTGGGAAGGGATCAGCTAGGATTAGCAGTCAAATGAGACAAGCTCCTGGAGGCAAGGCCTACCACAGGCCTTACCTCACACAGAGATAAAGCAGCAACTCCAGACTTTCTGAAACCAGAACTGAGACTGCTTAATTCGTATCTCAGAGTCCAGGAAACCTAAGGACCCAGGGAGGGTCAGAATGGGCCTGTGAACTCCAGCTCCCATTCAGGCTCCAATCTCCCACACCCTGAGGTTTCTTCCCACTCTACCTCAAGCCTCCTTCAAGTTTCTGCAAGCTCCTTCCCCAAATCACTATCTTGGTGATGGAAAGAGGACCCCTCTCCCAGAAACAGCACCAAGCTCCATCAGAAACATCTAGCTTCCCTTCACACCTCCTCCATCTTCCCAGAGACCTATGTGAGGTTTCAGTCCCTTCCTTCTTTCTTTCCCCTCAGGGAAAAGCTAGATTATTTGTCTGCAATATTAATTTGCTGTGAAACTCAGGTCCAGTCTAATCATACCTGGTGTAAGAATACTGCATTAATCTCCCCTAGAAGCCAGGTGTGGTAGCCTACGTCTATAATCCCAGCGCTCAGGAGGCTGACACAGGAGATCCCTGTCAGTTCAAGGATAGCCTGGGCTACACAGTGAGTTCAAATCCAGCCTGAACTACACAGTGAGACCCTGTTTCAAAACAAAAAATTTCCCCAAGACCCATCCCAAAACCCAAATCTCAGCAGTGACCTGGTACTGCACATTCTACAGGCCTACAATTTGTACTTCGAACTCATTTAATTCCTCTCAAATGTAAAATGTAAATACACTTAGAAAAAGGAACCCCACTTCAAGCTTACTAATCCTTTTCCTCTGTGAAGTTGGATCTAGGTGGAAATACTGTATACAGATGGTAGTATAGGCTTAGGAATTTTTTCCTGGAAGTATTTTAATCATTGGCAGCTGTTATTTTGGAGCCATACACAGGAAAGGTGGCTTACGCTTTGATACTGAACCTCTCAGAAGTTTCTAAAACATGAATTTTCCAAGCCGGGCATGTAATCCTAGCACTTGGGAGGCTGAGGCAGGATTGCCACAGGTTCAAGGCCAGCCTGGCTACATAATGAGATCAAGGCCAGCCTGAGCTATATAGAGAGACCCTGACTCAAAAAAAAAAAAAAAAATTTTTTTTTCCAACACGTGTCTGTAGGTAATATCTGGGAGAAGGAGGAGATGGACAATTTTTATTTTCTTAATATCTTTATAGATTTAAGAAAATCTAAGGGTTGGGGATGTAGTACAGTGGTAGAATGGGGAGACAAAAAGTAGGAAGGTTATAGGGTAGGCTCACCCAGGTCTTGAGTTCCAAGCAGAGGTTTAGGCTAGAGTGGCTTTTTTTCTTTTTTGGGGGTGCTGAGATCGAACCGAGGGGCCTCCACATGCTATACACACACACACACACACACACACACACACAGCCACTGAGCACCCCCTAGAGTCACAAGTATTTTGCTTATCTTTGTGTGTTTGTGATGCTGGGGACCAAACGCAGTGGCTTGGGCATGCTAAGCACACACTGTACACACTCCCAGCCCAGAGTCATCTATCATCATCACTATTTGCAGAGTCAGGGATTGAACCCAGGGCTTCACACACCCTGAGTAAGCACTACCAGTATGTGACATCTTCAGCCCTTTTTAAATTTTAAGACAGGGTCCTCCTACATTGACCATGCTGGCATTAAACTTGTAATCCTCTGCCCTCAGCCTTCCAAGTTGCAGAGATTACAGGCATGTGCTACAGTACCCAGCAGTCTTTTTTCTGAGACAGGGTCTCATGATGTAGCTCAGGCTGGCCTTGAACTCTCTATGCAGTCCGGGTTGGCCTCAAACTTTTACCATCTTCCTCCTGAGTGCTGGGATTACAGGTGTGTGCTGCCATGCCTGGCAAGGTGATAAAGTTTTAAGGTATGTTTTCTAAAATTTTAAATATTGTGCTTGGAGGACTCAGCAGGCCTCACTCTATCTATAAACCAGTTTGCCACCCTGGCTGTGAAGACCAAGAAAGACTACAGTGAGGGTAGAAAGGAAGGTTAGGATACAATGATATGCCTTACACTTTATATAGATTTGTAATTTACAGAGCAGCTACTCCTGTGATCCTGTTTTATAGAAGGGAAAACTGCCACATGGCTTCTAAGTGGCAGAGCTAGAATTCAAATTCAAGTTCTCCTAACAAATACACTGAAATAAACTATAACTAAAATGATTTGCCAATGAAAAAAATAAAAATAAAAAAAGCCAGGCCTGGTGGACCACATACGTAATCCCTGCACTCCAGAATGGCCAAGGCAGTCAGATCCAAGTTTGAGGCCAGCCTGGGCAATTCTGTAACTTAGCAAGACCCAACATAAAAAATGAAAAAAGGATTGGGGTTATATAGTTCAGTGGCAGATTACTCCTGAGTCCAATATCCAATATAAATAAGTACAAAAATAAATAAGGCTCACCAGATAATATTAGAATTTGAGAAACCCTCTGCATCAAATGTCCTGGAAATAAAAGGAGCAAATTAAGGCTGGGCAGCAGGAATCTCCAGTGATTCGAAAGCCCCTAGGGCTGGGAATGTAGCTCAGTGGAAGAGCTCCCGAGGCCCTGGGTTCCACCTTGAGCACTGCAAAAACACTCAAACTCCACCATCCTCAATACTGCATACTGTATCTTGGCACTGGGAACTGGGTGAGGAAGGCTGGGGTCACATAAAGAAAGCCCAGTGTAATACACAGAACAGGTGGGTAGGTAAAGGCAGGAGACTGGAAGGTGATCCAGGAAGGACTCAGAAGAGAGCATGGCTTCTGTCAGTGTCCTCAGTTGTGGCTGCTCAGACTTGGGACTTATTAAACAAGTCCCCACCTGACTGCAGAGCAAGTGGAAGAGGTTCAGGCTGAGGCAGGAGTTGAGAAAGGTAGTTTGTAACTCACAGTGATAAGTGAAGAATTGTGCCTTGTTTCAAACAAGCACATGCCCTAGTGTCAGAGATGGCCAATGAGAGGTGCTCTCAATACCCTCACATGGTGCATCAGTGGCAGTGGACTTTCTACATATAATGTCATTCTGCCTTTTCTCTGTATGGACCCTTACCCAAACTCTCCAATAGTACGCAACCTAATTAATTAGTACGCAACCTAATTCCTTGGCTGCTAAAATCTTGCTGCCACCTACCCACTTAGCTCTTCAGCACCCATCACACATACTATGGGGCAGTCATGTCTACCTCTTCAGCCCCATCACTACATTCCTCTGCTCCTCAGAAGGCATCTACTAATATCAAGTGTTATTAACATTATCTGACACTGTACCCAAGCCCACTTGGATGTCTTAATGACAAAATTAAAGTACACCAGAAGGGCGTGGTGATGCATGCTTGTAATCCCAGCACTCAGGAGGCTGAGGCAGGAGGATCAATGTGAGTTCAAGGCCAGCCTGGACTTTATGGTAAGACCTTGTCTCAAAAAAAAAAGAGAGAGAGAGAAAGAAAAGATGATTAAATTACATGAACACTGCCCTACATTTACCTGACTTACATCAGTCATACTACAGTATTCTTACACCTTTTGTAGTTTTTCAAGTCTGTTTGTAAACAGTATTACTTTTAAATTAAAAAAAAAGGAATCCATGTACTTAGTTCAGACTGTGATGTCAATACTGAAAAATCTGGGGCACCTACCCAATGGGCTCCCCAGGATAAACAACCAAATACAAAATACAACCTCATTTCTCAGATACTTGTAGAAGGCCACTCAGGAAGGCTTAAAAATAATTCTAATTTCCTTAAGGTAAACGTTTATTACTTGTGTAAAATAACTTTCTCTAGGAGCACCCCTATCTCACCCCAAATATTTTTTCTCAGAACTCCTTCACCTACAGAATTCCTCACCTTTTCTAGGCCTGCAGCTCAAAACCTAGAATGCACCCGGCGTGGTGGTGCATGCCTGTAATCCCAGAACCAGGGAAGCTGAGGCAGGAGGATCGCTGTGAGTTCGAGATCAGCCTTGGCTACATAGTGTGTTCCAGGGCAGTCTGAACTAAACAGTGAGACACGCTGTCTTAAAAAGAAGAAAACAACAACAAAAAACCCCAAAACAAAACCCAAACAAACAAAAACCCTAGAATGTAGACTCTATTCTGACACTGCCAGGAACACAACAGGCCCCCAGTAAATCTGTGTGAAGCCTGACTGAGTAGTGGACAGAATGAAGCTTCTCTGTGAGGCACTCCTCAGTTTGCCCCAAGTAGTGATGAATCCCTCCTACGTATTTCTAGTGAAGGATAATATTGCCGGCACCCAAAAACAAAACAACCCGGGACGCTGAGAAAGGAGGACCGCCATGAGTTTGAGGTCAGCCTGAGCTAGAGAGACCCTGTCTCAAAGGAGGGGGGAAAAAATCACCACCAAACTGAAAAACCAAGCAGAACTCTAATATGCTGGAAACCATTACTTTAGCGAAGACCGCTAAAAGAACCAAATTCCTTGAATCTGTGATTCAGAACGGGTCAAAGCGCAAGGGCACACAACTCCCTGAACCGACCAAATGAAACACAGGCACCTCTCCTCTCCTACCGTAGGGAAGGTCCGGTCGGGCTGCACACTCACACACACCTGAGAGCCCCGCCGAACTCCGGAAGCTCAGGGCACCCTTCGGCCGGTCCGGTGTGAGAGGGAGGCACTGGGGCTTCGCAGCTTTCCGGGGAGTCCCCGAGGGCCGTCCAGCCCGAAACGACCTCTCGGGTCAGGCCTGGGCCGCCCTCCGCATGTGCGTGGGACGGGGAAGGCCCCAGCGGTCCTCCAAGACCTGCCTGACCTTTTCCGAGTTTCCCCCAACAAACGCCCAACTCCAACCTCTCCAACCGCGCAGAACAGGCTTTCACGGCTGCGAGGCGCAGCGCCACTCACCTCAAGGAGGCAGGCGTCCTCCTCGGGAGAGGCCATTTCTCGCTGGGCGGCGGCGGGAGGGCGCGGAGGGGACTCCCCGGACCGAGGGCGCCCGGG